GGCGGTCATTGTAATCCAGCCGGCCCGCGCCGGGAGGACGGGGATGGGAAGGATGCACTCGGGCAGCGGGTCGCTCCCTTTCCCGACGGGCTCTTTGCTGCTCTGCTGCTCCTCTGCCGTATTTATAACCCAGAATTAGCATGTGAAAGGCGACTTTCCTTGGCGGGACTTCTTTTCCCACACGAGGGGTCGAGCCTGGAGGTTTGCGGCCATCAATCAAAGCTGACAGGTCACTGCTTCTTTTCAATGACCACGCCGGCCCCCCCAAATGGCGACAGATGTCCAGCCTCCGACGCCGGGCTTTGGAGGGCTCTTTTGTTAGCGAAGAAGGGAAGGAAAATGGGCGCGCTCTGAGCAGCTTGCATGGCTCCTCGCTCAATTCGCACAGATTCCCAGGGAGGGAAACAATAGCCGGGAAGCGGTTGAATTACACCTGGGAAAATGCCTTCTACCCATCTTTTTTCCTCTCTATCTCCTTGAAGCGATGCCTCTTTTTACCTGCTAACCCAAGCCCCAGCCATTTTACGTCTTTGAAGCACCCTCTTAAATTAATAATAGAGCACTTGAGCTAGTTCCTCCTCCCAGGAATTATTATTACAAGATAATGATGATGGATTGAAAACTGTTGACAGCAGACGCCTGTAGGAACATTGTTTCCATCACAGAAATCCTCTGGGGAAAACAGGGGAACTTTATTTACCTCTTGGGAACCCGAATTCTGTTGCACATAGCTGGATGTAGGAAATACGCAACTCTTCTAGTTTTTGGCTGCTGTGTAGAATTTAATATTAAACTTACAGGCCATTGCAGATGCAAACGAACCTAGAGGTGACTTGGGACTGTGGGATTTTTAGTTCTTGGATTTTCCCCCCCGTGTTGCGAGGAGGCTTGGGTGGCTTTGGGGTCAGGGTGTTTTTCTGTTCGCTCCTCTGAAATGCTGGTGCAGAAGCAGACGGGCCTTTGGAGAGACTTGGCACAGGATGAGAATGCACTTTTATGCTTCCTCACTTCTGCCTGATCTGGGCGGGGGGGGGGAGTATGAAGGTGTTTTTCATGACCGTGCTTTTGCTTTCTGACGGGCGCTTTGCTAATGAGCAGGATTTGGCAGTGTCCTGTTGAGTCCCACAGGTGAAGCCCTTTGGGCTGGTGTCAAATGTGTCACCTTCTTGAAATGGAGAGGAAGCGGCCGCAGCGGTTCCGAAGCACCGCAACCCGTCCCGATCTACCGGTGGGATTTCCCAGCACCCGGCGTAGCGCTGCGGCTGCAGAGCCCTCTCTCCCCCCCTCCAGCCGTGGGTGGGGATGTACCCCAGAGATAAAAGTGAGGACATTGCGTCCTTTGCTTAAACACCGTGTGGGTGTGTGTTTGCCTGTGTAAATGCAAACATACTTGCAGCATATCCGTACGCCCCGCTGCCTGGGCTCACCACGAAATCGCATCTCCAGACGTGGTATCTTGCAGGCAGAGGTTGTTTGTCAGTCAAAGGCAGAACTGGGGGGCAGTTACCCGGTTTTATAAGCGCCCTACTTGGCAAGGGCTGGAGACGGGCCGGTGTGCTTGCTGCGCTGGGAGAGGAGGGTTTGGGAGGGGAAGGTTACTAACCTGTCCTTTGTGCTAGGTAAAGGGACCAGGGATGGGCTCCTTATCTCAGGTGCATCCCCTGCACAGACAGCAAAAGGAGCTCCCACTGCCCTGTGCGGGAGCCCCACAGGTCCGCCAGCCCTGGCTGCTCCCAAGTGAAGGCTCCGTTGGTTTTTCGAGCTTTTTCCAGTCTGCCTGGGGAAGTGGAGTGTCGCTGGTATTTATAAAAGGGGTAGCTGAGGCATCCATATCGCCACTCAACTCCAGCAGCTTGGCGTGGAAGAGGCAGCGGGCGGGCTGGGGTAGGGCTCTGCCCTGCCCGGGGGTAGGGGGGCACGGAGCAAGGGCACCCCTGGCTCTGGGCAGTTTCCTAGGGTGCCCGAGGCTGGAAGCACCTGCCCGTCACCTGGGCACACAGCTTCTAGCTGGGTTTGGCTCGGACGGTGGGTGGGGAAGAGAAGTCCCCCACTCCCAGCCTAGCACCCCTCCACCAGCACCTTGTGCAGAAGGAGGCACCTTCCCGAGGCAGCCAGGGCAGCAGGGGAAGCCTGGGACCACCTTGGCTGCTGGCCATGGCAGAGATGTCATCAAATGCAGAAAACCTCTGAAAAGCCCGGCCCGTGCCCATTGGCATCCCTCCCTGGCTGGGCACAGCCGCAGGGTGCTGTGTGTGCCCCCCCCCCATTAGTGGCCGTGGGGCTGGCCAGCCCCCAGAGCCACCAGGAAAGGTCTCTCTGGTCTCCGCGGTGGTGGCAGCTCCTCTCTCGCCCCCCCTTTCC